CTGATTCCCCGATCGGAACAAACCTAAACACAATCATAGCTATGATTGCAAGAAGTAACATTTTGCTGAACCAACAGGTGTGACACGCACGCGTCTCACAGACACACACACACACACAATAGCACACACACACAGCACACACAGCGCACACACAACACACACAGCACCGCGCACGCACGCGTTCAACAGACACGACACACACAACACACACACACACACAACAACACGCACCGCACCGCACGGCACGCACGAGGCACACGGAGCACGCAGCCGCACGCACGCACACACGCACAACACACCACACATACGCACGCACCGAGTTCACAGCACCGAGTATTCTCACACACACACACACACCACATCAACGACAGCACACACAGACACACACACACACACGCACTGCAACGCACGCACACACACATGGCACATATCTTCAAGCACGCGTTCACTCAGACACCCACCACAACCGCACGACACACACACGGCCCACGCACACACACCAACTTCACACACACGAAACGCACGCTACAGCGTTCAACGAGACCACACACGTCCACACAACTACCAAGCACACACACACAACACAAACACATGGGTGAGCGTGCCGCCACTCGCAGTAGTCCGCGCGAGTAAAAAATCAAAGGAGATTTCACAAACGATGCATGTATGACGGATGACACACAGGATCCTCCAACCTGAGCACGTGAACGACGCGAGGCTGTGGCGGTATGGAAATGCGTCGGTCCACGCTCGTGTTAATGCGTTGCCCTACATCACACACGACACAGCACCATCCAACCACACACGACAAACCGAATCGAGATCTTGCGCGCGCACACACACACACACGCGCACACTCACGCACGGCACACGCACGCACGAACGCCACAGCACTACACGATAACCACGCCACGAACGAACGCCGCCCCGCACGCACACAACCGCACGCACGCACGCACGCGACAGTACACGCACGCAACGGCCACGCCACGCCACGCACGGAACGAACGCGCGCCGCGCACGCACACACAATACAACGCACCGGCACACATCTTCCACGCGCAGGGCACTATTGTGAATGCATAATTACGAGTGCAAGGACACATTGTCAAACATAGTACTTGATTTTTTTGCAGCCGTGTCACACAATCAAACAAACGCTTGAGCCGTTTTGGTAGGATTATGGTCCAATCACTCTAACGACGAACGAACGAAACGAACGGACGGACGAACGTACGGAACAGAACGGACGGACGAACGAACGAAAACGAACGGACAGACGGACGGACGAACGACGACGAAGCGAAGCGGACGGAAGCGGACGAAGCGAAACGGACGGATAACGAACGGACGGACGAACGAACGAACGAACGATATGTACGAATAAGGACATTCGACTGACTGAACGAAAGCGAACGACAGACGACCGGCACGAACGGAACGAAACAGACGGACGAACGAGTGGAGGCCAGCATTGACGGAGAACGAACGGACAGACACATACGGATGCATCGGATGAACGGACGGACGACGAACGGATGAAGGGATCAGACGAAGAAACGAAGCGACAGACGGATATACGATGCACGGACGAACGGGACGGACGACGACAAACGAACGAACAGACGGACTATCGGAATCGGATGGCCACGGACGGAACGGACGGAGCATACAGACGAACGAAATTAAACGGACAGAACGGAGCGACGGGGACGACGAAGCAAGGACGACGGACGAAGCGAAATGGAAGGACAGACGGACGGACGACGAACGGACCAGACCGGTCATACGGAGCTAACGGACGGACAAACAGGAACGGATGTGAGGGACAGACGGACGGACGATGGTGGAGCAGACCGGATGGACGGATGGAGGGAACAGACTGATGGACAGACGACGGATGAAGGGACAGACGGATGAACGCAAACGGACGGAGGAGGATGGACGAACGCATGAGGGACAGACGGACGGACGAACAGATGGCACGGACGGACGGAGCGGACGGATGGACGGACGGATGGAGCGGACCGAACGGACGGACAAACGGACGGACAAACGGACAGACAAACGGACGGATGGACGGACCGCAGGACGCTGACGCTGTGCTCCAAGCTACATCTGATTGTGTCAGATGAGTTAAAAGAGGAAGCCTTAGGGTGAAAAAACTCTATCATTCCTAAAAATCACGCACGAGCCAATTTTATCTTTGTACTGCAAGCAACGTGGCCATAATTTACAAATTGCGTTTGCATCGAATTTCTGTAATCCGAATTATTGTAACGTGGTGTTTTACTATACGTAAGCATGCAAGCGCTGACACACACACACACGCGCACGCACGCACGCACGCACGCACGTACAAAAATACACACACACACACATAAATATTCATTCAACCCTAAGATAAGGTGAAACTCGGCAAGTTCAAGTTCACCTAGAGAATACATCGGTTGTAGCTTGGTAAGCTTCACCTCCTGGCAGTAATTATAGGCTGTATGTACACGTGTGACGTATCTAACCTCTTCAAGGTCGTGTACCAAGGTGATGTGAGTGACATCTTAGAATGAACCAAACCATCGGATTAGCAAACAGCTGAATCGCTAGAATTCGAGTGACTATTCCAGCACTTCATTCCACTTCATTATTCAGCGGGCATGCTGCGGGGCGGGCGGGTGAGTGGCTCACCTCTGGGCAGTCCTGCTGCACGAAGGTGGAGTTTGAGTCCCAGCAGCACTGCTCGCGGCTGAAGTAGAACTGACTCGGGCAGATGCCGTTCTTGATGTCGAACATCCAGTTGGCTCCGATGTCGATGACGCCCGCGGTGAGACCTGCAACGAGGGGGAGGGTGAGAATGCATGAGGGAGGGGGTGAGAGTGTACGAGGGGAGGATGAGAGCGCATGAGGAGGAGGGTGAGAGCGCACGAGGGGGAGGGTGAGAATGCATGAGGGAGGGGTGAGAGCGCACGAGAGATGGGAACGAAGAGATGGTGAGAGTGTACGAGGGGAGGATGAAAGTGCATGAGGGGGAGGGTGAGAGCGCACAAGGGGAGGGGAACGAGGGGAGGGTGAGATCGCATAAGGAGAGGGTAAGAACGCACAATGGATGGCAAAGAGGAGAGGATGAGAGTGCACAAGGGCGGACATCGAAACAAACCTCGACCCCCACCACCCACCTCTGTATAACAATCACCCGACTATAAAAGCCACTTTGAGGCAAGCTTCCCTCGAGCGACCCCCCACCCCCCCACACGCACAGATTCGACCCCGCACACGCACACGCGCCCGCGTGCACTCACCCGCCGCGCATCCGACGATGAGCACGCACATCCAGCCCGACCAGGCGTCGTGCCAGCCCTTCAGGCTATCCCAGCACGACTCTTTCTTCTTCTTGACGATGTGCCGATGGCGGAGGCGGTCGCGAGCGATGTCGCGCAGCCAGTCGATCGTGTGGAAGTCCTCGTACTGGCCGACGCCGAGGGGAAGGTCCGTGTCCTCCGACGACGCATTGTACGTTCCTGCAACGATAGAGGGCGTCGGCGATGTCTTAGCTGGGGTGTTGCGAATTTCGACCAAAACGCAATGCGACGGCAAACCGACCGACCGACGAAAATGCACGTCGCGTTTGGTCTTAGTCACGGTTTAATTTCTTCGTATTAATGGATAGCGTGGAGTTTCAGGATTTCTGACAATGGCCCTCTAGGTGGCGCTAGTGGTAAACACTAGAGCATGCCGATTGCCTCGATGTTTCGCACGATCACCGCACGCTGACATTATAATGAAAATGAAAATGATATTCTCACGTAGACTGTAGCCCGTAAGCCAGCGCATACCGACCCCTGAGAGTGGTCCAGCCATGGGAACGCTAACAGAGGCAATGTAAACCTCGCACGAAACAAGCAAACATCAGCATATGTAGGAGACATATGGGTACCTTAGACGTCATGGGACATGACAAAATAGGGGAAATCAACACTAACAGAGTGTGACACGACTGAATTTAGACGTCATTAAAACGGCGTTAACAAAAACAAGTGAACAGTTTCGTGTCATCAACCATGGTTTTAAGGCAATTTTGGTAAATCGGGACGAATCTAAGAAGTAACTCTGCAAGTGAAGCACCACACAGATATAGACAACTTGTTGCTCCGTAAGAGAGAATTTAACAAGTGAACGCCACTTCATGAAGCATCCGAGCTAAAGGTAACCAGCCAGTCAAGCAGCCAGGACCTCTCTCAAACAAATATGACACTTGCTATTGTGTGTCATGTGAGAGGCAGTAACTACGCGCGGGCAAGGGCACGTACCTCGACGAACTGGAATAAAGTGAATGACTGAATACCGTACAACTCTCGACCACGGAACTACCGAGCGAACATCGTTCGCGAGAGAAACAATCTGGGAACGCCACCCACGATAAGCTGTACGAAATTGAAACGCGGAGCTACCGGGCAAATGTCGCTCACGAGACAAACAAGTGAACACCACGCCACACTTTACGACTTACAACCATGGAGCTAGCGGGAGTACGTTGCCCACAAATAAAACAATTAAACGCCACGGCAGACAACACGCCATACGACATCCGACCGCGGAACTACCGGGAGAACGTCGGTTACGAATCAAACAAGCGAACGCCGCACAACTTTCGCCGATAACAAGCGAGCGTTCGCGCATGCCCTTACCCTCACCCGTGTGATAATCCTTGTTTGGGTCGTAGCCGACCGAGTTCTCCATCGATATGGAGCTGTGCAATCGCAGCGTGCGCGGAAACACGCTGATGTCGACCTCCATCGTGTTCGACGCGTCGGCCATCTTGCCACGCGTGACCTTGACGTGACCTTGACGTGACCTTCGTGATGACAGCGCTCTCGCTCACGCCTCTACGATTCGACGCCGTTAGCTCGCATACGAGTCAGCGCCACCCATGCTAAGGCGCCACCTATGGTTGTAGTCTCACAGCGCAAGCTATAGTTGTACTCTCACAGCGCCACCTATCGCTGTACATTCATGGCGCCACCTATAGCTGTACTTTCACGGTGCCACCTATGGTTGTGCCCTCACAGCGCCACCTACAATTGTACCCTCACAGCGCCACCTACAATTGTGCGCCTCACTAGGCGCCACCGTTACAATTGTCCCTCACAGCGCCACCTACAATTGTACCCTCACAGCGCCACCTACAATTGTGCCCTCACAGCGCCACCTACAATTGTGCCCTCACAGCGCCACCTAATTTGTCTCAACACCTATGTTGATCTTCACATGCGCCACCGTATAGTGTGATCTAACAGCGCCACCTACAATTGTGCCCTCACAGCGCCACCTACAATTGTGTCCTCACAGTGCCACCTATAGTTTGTGATCTCACAGCGCCACTATAGTTGTGATCTTACAGCGCCACCTATAGTTGTGATCTCACAGCGCCACCTACAATTGTAATCTACAGCGCCACCATAACAATTGTGCCCGATCACCAGCGCCACCGTACAAGGCACACCTATGGTCCTCACAGCGCCACCTTATAGTGTGCACTTCACAGCGCCACCTATATTGTGATCCTCACAGGCGCGTACTATAGCTGTGACCTCACAGTACTGCCACAATGAGAAGCGATGTCGTCTGGTACAAACGATGACGATGTTTACGTCACTTTTACCGCCGCTCTCTGCAATTCTTATCCGGCACGTGTATATCCGCGAATATCCATCCGTACTGGTCCACGTTTTATCGCCCACGCAAGTCCAGCGAAATTCCCCAGTAAGGATATAATGCACCAAGTTATAATTATACATGCGAATATTATTTTGTCGTACTAATTTCACACGACACTTTGCAATGAGGTAAAAAATAAGAGTGCTAGCAGCTGTATGACCCGGGAGCACACAGGCACACACTGTAGACCCCGTTGCTCTGACTGGCCACCGTTCCTAGCAACCCACACCTGATATATATATATTCGCTGGCACATGTACTTCCAACTTGTGCTGTCATGCACTGGCGTAAAACAGTGTCAACACACACACACACTAACACACTGCTAGCAGCTAGTCACCTCTGCGCACAAGAACCACACAGCGGTGTTGCTCTTGCTTTCTCATTTGCCGACACACACACACCAGCGCACGCACACACACATCACACCACACACACGCACACGCACGCACACGCGCGTGTACACTACTGTGTACACACTACTGTGTTACGCGTATCCGTCGCAGTTCACACGTTTACAGAGTTAATCATCCTGTGTAGTAGCAAGAACCAGCATACAGTCGTACACACACACACACCACACACCACTGATTATATTACGCATATAGTGTTGTCCTGTATATTCAATTGTGCGCATACGCTAACCACACACACAGCGTTCACCGAGCTGTATCCTAGGACCTTATTCCAGTGCCTGCATACGTCACACACGACAGCACAACCACGACTACGTCCACAAGAGTTTCTGCGTCTTATTCCCAATGCGGCATACGCGGTCTCCTCTCTCTCTCTCTCTCTCTCTCACACACACACGACAGTCACCAGGCGGGATTGCGCGACCGCACACATGCCACCAAACACTAAGACACGTGTAGCACACACAAGGCTCGCAGTACGCGCGTAGTAATAAGGCGATTTCACCAACGATGCCTGTATGCACGATGACACAACAGGATCCTCCCACCGAGCACGTGACGACCGCACTTGTGGCGCTAGCCGCTCGGCACGCTCCGTGTTAGCGTCTGCCACTACATCACACACACAACACACACAACACACGCACACACGCACGCGCGCGCGCGGCACACACACGCACACACACAACACACACACGCTCGCGCCTGAGCACATCCGGCGACTGCGTGAGATGAATAAAGGTGAAGGCGGTAACAGACGGGACACTTCCTAGGCCGCGTCGCGCGTGATATCGTGCTGCGTGCCTGAGGTTCAGCTAGAATGGCTGTCAGTCTAAAGTAGAAAGCGAGTTTTATTCGAGCGACGCTATCTCACCTGCTAGTAACTCCATATAATCTGCCACCAACAGGCAAGCAGAACCAGGGGGAGTTTTTAGTTCACCTACTATATTCACTGAAACGTGCGCGCAGTGCGTGTGCGTGTGCGTGCGCAGCGCGTACGGGAATACGGCTGTACGAAAGGTAATCGTTTCAAACGCGAACCTGCGTAACGTGAGTCCACGCGTGTCTTAATTATTACTAAGCTTCCATATAGCAAGAGTCACAATAGAGCCATAGGATAGTAACAAAGTAAGATAATAACACAGGTTATTACTACCTTGATAGTAAATCACTCTCTATCAATGTAACTCTTGCTTATATCAAGAACGTAATAAGAAGGTATTATCACCTTCTTTATATACGCATCTTGATTATATAATTGCACGCGTCCTACGAGAGGGTCTCGCGAAACGAAGAAGCTTGATTCCGCCGATCGAACAACTAACACAATCCATAGCATGATTGGGCAAGAAGTAAACATCTGCTGAAACACACACGCACGCCGTTCACAAGAACACACACACACACCACACACACACACACACACAACAGCACACCACACACACACACAAGGGCCCAGCACGCACGCCGTTCAAGACAACACACACACACACACACCACACCACCACACACACCCACGCACGCACGCACGCCGCAACACACCACACCGCGACTGCGCGCGTGGCTGCCGGGCCGCGAGCGGGTCAGGGGCTTTGGACCCAGACGCACGCGACGCACACACAGGCACACACACACATACGCACAGCACTGAAGTTCACAGACACACACACACACACACACACACACACACACACACAGCCACATCACACAGCACGGCACGCAGCGCCGACCGGCACACACACACACATACCACGCCACGCGTTCACAGACACACACACATACACACACAACACATGGGGCACCGTCACGCTACACACACACACACACACACACACACACACACATACGCAACGCACGCGTTCACAGACACCACACACACACACAACACACACACACACACACACACAAACACAACACTCGCATAGTCCGCAGCGAGTAAAAATCAAAGGAGATTTCACAAACGGATGCATGTATGACGGATGACACACAGGATCCTCCAACCGAGCACGTGAACGACCGCGAGGCTGGGCGCGTTGGAAGCGTCGTCCAGCGCTCGTGTTAATGCGTTGCCTAACATCACACACACACACACATGCACCACACAGCGCGACGCAATCGAATCTTGGCCACACACACACGGACACGCCACACGCACCACGGTGCACACGCACGCACGAACGCACGCACACACATAACGCACGCACGAACGAACGCCGCCCCGCAACGCACAACAACGCACGCACGCACGCACGCAGACAACACGCCACGCACGCCACGCAGCGCACGCACGGAACGAACGCGCGCCCGCACGCACACACATACAACGCACCGCACACATCTCACGCGCAGGCAACTGATTGTGAATGCATAAATTACGAGTGCAAGAGACACATTGTCAAACATATGTATTGATTTTTTTGCACCGGTCACACCATCAAACAACGCTTGAGCCGTTTGTGGTATGGATTATGGTCCAATCACTAACGACGAAGGCGAAGACGAACGAACGACGGACGAACGTACGGACAGACGGACGGACGAACGAACGAAAACGAACGGACAGACGGACGGACGAACGACGACGAACGAACGGACGACGGACCGAACGAAAACGACGGATAACGAACGGACGGACGACGCAACGAGACGACACGAATGTACGTAGGACATCGACTGACGAGACGAACGAACGAACAGACGGACGGACGAACGAACGAACAGACGGACGACACGATGAGGCGCCGACATTGACGGAGAACGAACGACAGACGACATACGGATGCACGATGAAACGGACGACGACGAACGAGATGGAAGACAGACGAGCCAACGAAGCGACAGACGGATATACGAATGCACGGACGAACGGACGTGACGACGGACAAACGAACGAACAGACGACTATGCGGAAATCGGATGCACGGACGGAGACGACGGAGCATACAGACGAACGAATTAAACGGACAAGACGGACGCGACGGGACGGACGAACAAGGACGACGGACGAAGCGAATGAAGGACAGACCGGACGGACGACGAACGGACAGACGGTCATAACGGAGCAACGGACGGACAACGGAACGGATGTGAGGGACCAGACGGACGGACGATGGTGGACAGACGGATGGTACGGATGGAGGGACATGAACTGATGGACCAGACGGACGATGAAGGGACAGACGGATGAACAAACGGACGGAAGGAGGACTGGACGAACGCATGAGGGACAGACGACGACGAACAGATGGCACGGACGGAGGACGGACGGATGGACGGACGGATGGAGCGGACCGAACGGACGGACAAACGAGCGGACAAACTGGACAGACAAACGGACGGATGGACGGACCGCATGACGCTGTGCTCCAAAGCTACCATCTCAATTTTGTCAAATGAGTTACAAAGAGGAAGCCTTCAGGGTGGAAAAAAACTCATTCATAATGTCCTAAAAAATCACCACGAGCCAATTTTATCTATTGTAACTGCAAGCAACGTGGCCATAATTTACAAATTGCGTTGCATCGAATTTCGTAAATCCGCGATTATTGTAACGTGGTGTTTTTAGCTATACGTAAGGGCATGCAAGCGCTGACACACATCAGCAAACACGCGCGACGCACGCCGCACGCACGCAGCACGCACGCACGTTACAAAAATACACAACAACACACATAAATATTCATCTCAACCGCTAAGATATAAAGGGAAACTCGGCAAGTTCAGAGTTCAGCCGCTAGAGAATACATCGGTTGTAGCTGTAAGTCTTCACCTCCGCAGTAATTATAGTCTGTATACCACGTGTGACGTATCTAACCTCTTCAAGGTCGTGTACCAAGGTGAGGTGAGTTGACATGCTTAGAATGGAACAAACCACGATGAGCAACAGCTGAATCGCTAGAATTCTAGTGACTAATGACTATTCCAGCACTTCATTCCACTTCATTATTCCACACTATTCCAGTTCTTTCGCTAGAATTCTAGTGACTAATGACTATTCCAGCACTTCATTCCACTTCATTATTCCACACTATTCCAGTTCTTTCGCTAGAATTCTAGTGACTAATGACTATTCCAGCACTTCATTCCACTTCATTATTCCACACTATTCCAGTTCTTTCGCTAGAATTCTAGTGACTAATGACTATTCCAGCACTTCATTCCACTTCATTATTCCACACTATTCCAGTTCATTTGCTAGAATTCTAGTGACTATTCCAGCACGTTGAGTTCAAGATCACTGTAACACTTGTTTACGAAACTGAGACCACAGCTCCGCGGGCATATATATGTCCATATCAGCTGCATATTGCACTAGTTAGCAGGCTTCTCTCTCTCTCACCCATATGGAATCCTAAATCCCTATATCCCTAGACCCCTATATCTAGATATAGAATATTATATAAAATGCTAACGAAGCCTCGACGAACAAACGAGCAAGCTCATACTCAACTCAGTGAGTAGGGATCGCCTGACAACCACCGATGTGCATACAACTGTCATGCGAAACCAATCTGCCTCCTGTTCAGATGATCATAACGACACGATGCAAAGGGCTACCGTCATATTGCTCAGGTAACTAATCTGTCTGGGCGAAGTAACTACGTGCCACACTTCACTATTTACTATCTATATACCCTGGATATTATTGTAACTTCTGCCAGACTAGACAAACTTGTACATTTGTCATGCGTACGCACCACATTGTCATCGTAGCAACACTTCGTTGCAAGGCATTGCTTGTAGAACGCCATATCGCAACAATGAGTGGCTAGAGAGCTGGCTTGTCGAATATGCTAGGTAGATGGCTCAAATGCATCAGTGGCAAAAGGCAGCTATGAGAGATATTTATGAGGGATTGATCCTGAAAACATACTGGGAAAGCTTTTTACCTTAAGTAGCTTTTTAGCTTTTATCACAAACCTAGTTACTGATATGTAACGAACTTACTGAAGCAGTAATATAATCGCATGGAGCAAACACACAGATCACAGACGCGAAAACGCACGCATGAACGCTTGCACGCACGCAGATACGCACACATACATGTACACCCGCACACGCACGCACGCACACACACAAGCAACACACGCACGCACACACACAACACACGCACACACGCATACACGCACACACGCACACACACACAACACACGCACACACACTCGCACGAACCCCCGCACGCACACTCACGCACAACGAAATTCCTCAACAAATGCAACCCACGCGACGACTCACCATAGCTCTTACTATGCGCGCCAAAGTCGCTCTCGTTGTCGCTGCCGGGTGGCTCTGCCTGCGCTCCGCCGCTGCCGCCGCTGCCGCCGCCGACGCTTGCCAGGGAGACGTCAATGATCTCGTCATCGCTCATCTGTCTCGTGGCTGCCGCCGCCGCCGCCGCCGCCGCCGGACCGTTGGTGGTGGACAGTCGCTGGAAGGCCGAGGCCGACGTCGCTAGCTCGCTCATCACGTCTAGAAGAGGCTCATGCTCTTCCATGTACCGTTCATTACGCGCCAACGAACATCTGTCGGTGCGACGAAACGACGAAGTAAACCGTTAAGTCCATATAATATAGCGAGCGGCGGAACGATCGACATTGAACTTCACAAAGGTCGCGAAAAATAGAGAACGATCGAAAGATCGACGTCGAATCGAAAATATTGCGCGAAAATAGAGACGTTGACACAATGAAAGGTACGCAAGCATGAGCCCGATTGGGGTTGTTAGTATATGATCATGAGTTGGATGTAATCAAGACCGATTGGGTATGCAGTTGCCTATGCTAACTATAATAAAGTGGCACTCCCAAGGGGGATCCAATAGAACAATGCCAGTGGTGGCCACTTGTTTTTATATAAAAAATCATTATTTTAGTCGTGGGATCATGAAATAGCCCATATAAAGTATATTATGGGAATAATGAGCACTTGGACTTTACCGCCTAAATATAAGTATAAGCTGAATCCCTGGGGGTGGGGGGCACTCCCATACTAAAGCGGTACGCATACTCGTCAAAGCATCTCAAAATTGGACCCTAAATGGCATATTCAGCGGTAGCAAATTTCACCCCTTATTGGCGTAAGATAATGTAAATCATACCCCAAAATTGCGTAAGACACTAAAACGGACCCCTAAATGGCATAGCACAATAAATTGGTCCCTTCACTATGTAACCCCATTGTAATTAACCCTTCACCCGTAGTCTCGTGCCTGTCTCGTGCCCAGACTTGTGAGTGGCCGATGGCACGTATACTAGGCGGGCACGTATACTGCACATACTCGACTTTAACGCCCATCAGTCTGACGTTGAGACTATAGAAAACCCAGCGAGAATCCTTTTGAGAATGTAAACACGGATTTAAATGGCCGAATCGAATGGCAAAAACCGGGCGAAAAAGTGGGCGAATAGTGACCCTAAACGTCGAAGGTTAACCAGAAAAAGTACCCCTTTATTGTTCGTTGCCGTGTGGGAATGAAGAAGAAATGAAAAATAAGAATGCAACAATAAAAAGCAATGAATGACACACATGGATCTTCCATGATACATCACATGTGCATTTATGAATCAATTAATCATGAATTATACATGTATATAGTAGGGTGCTGACATTATTATGATACTCTCCTCATGTTTTGCTTGATTTATATTGATAAACATCCACCCAAAGTGATTTTGAAGACACGCATACAATGGTACATATGTATTGGGCCAGTGCAGATAACAACAGTTGATGGATCGTATATTAGTCTTAGAAACATATCATGGACCAGTAACAAGCACAGCAACTGCTAGGGCGCGTCATTCCGTGTCAAATCACCCAATGGGTTTAACCCCACCCCCTCAGATTTGGCTGAAACTTACTTTCTATGGTGGTTTGGCGGCAAAACGCGTCAATTTTCAAATTTCAGCTCAACATGCGGACCAGCGGTTTGGCCGCTATGGCCTGTCCAATTTTGCAAAAATGGGCCAAAATTTGGCGAAGCGCCCTATCTATGAACGTCCATAAATCAGTAACCACTGGCCCAATCTTGATGGAGATGATATCTTTGGAAAGGGAATTGCCTAAGGATTCCAAATCTGCCATTGTTTTTAAGTAGGAGTAAGTTAAAAGTTGATGATCTCTTCGTTAGCGCTGAGCCTTGAATTTGACCTTGTTCCCTTGCGACTTTGAATGAAAATAGCCAAAACTTATAGCCCAACATGTTTTCCACAAAATTATAAAGAACCAGAGGTGTAATATTCCTCAGTAGTCTGCAAAAGCAAATCAAAAAACACTTCTCCGTGCAATTTTAACTTGAATTTATATTGGTTTGTCATAAAATCAGTTACTTTGAACACAAATACATACAGAAGCTAAACATATCTGATTTACATTCACCTCATTACTCATATCAAATGGTCCACTGCCTCACAAAGTTGAGAATATTCAAAAACATCATTTTCGGCTGATAGTATATCCTCTGGATGAGATGACCGAGAGTGACGGCGTTTCAACCACACACAGTATGTTGTCTTCTGAAATCAACATTTATCTGGTTTCTTTGGCCAATTTAAATTGCTTCGTAGGCCCATGTGGATGCATTGAAATTTATTCTGTAATCTCCAAATTCATTTGATAATTTCATCTACCATTCCTATCCATGGCAGATTTTCGTAGAGGCAGCAAACAAAGTTCTGTTCATGAATTTCGAGAGGTTGTCGTTCTGTTACACGTTCCAAATCTTCACCATCATCAGTCGTGTCATTAGTATATGTCACAGAGACTAGTTTTGGTTGGTCTGCCTGAGCACTCAAGTGGTAGACCTCCAACTCTGAAGTAGATATGGGGACAAATCGATGCAACTGCAGAGCTCCTTTATTGTCCTTGATGACTCGAACCGCGGTCTGAGTTCGTTTTCACATTCGGCAATTTTCTCTGCTGCTACATCGAAGAATTTTATACCTGGAATGTTTTCTGTACAGAATTTCATGATTGCTTCGATGGTAAGAATCGGGTCATTGTATGGGCGTTGAAGACTGGCCTTTGTAACCAGCCTTTTAACTGTGCCTCCAATGCCATCACAGGCACTTTTTCCGTGGGAGGTTGCGAAAAAGTTCCATTCTGCTGCAAGATCGAAATCCTGTAGGTGGTGACACAAATTGGTGAAGTTGTTTTTGTTTTTATATTGTCCTGCACAGCCATCTGTGAAATAGTGAACTTTTTTCAGACCTGGAAACTCAGTTTTCAGATAAGGAATTACAGTTTTTAAGAAGGCAAATACTGTAACTGTTGAATGTTCCCTGCTATCACTCAATACACACACATTCCGATGTTCCAATGTCCCGTCTTCAAGTCTATGGTATGCCACAAATGGATTCCTTATCTGAAAACTGAGTTTCCAGGTCTGAAAAAAGTTCACTATTTCACAGATGGCTGTGCAGGACAATATAAAAACAAAAACAACTTCACCAATTTGTGTCACCACCTACAGGATTTCGATCTTGCAGTGCAGAATGGAACTTTTTTGCAACTCCCACGGAAAAAGTGCCTGTGAGTGGCATTGGAGGCACAGTTAAAAGGCTGGTTACAAAGGCCAGTCTTCAACGCCCATACAATGACCCGATTCTTACCATCGAAGCAATCATGAAATTCTGTACAGAAAACATTCCAGGTATAAAATTCTTCGATGTAGCAGCAGAGAAAATTGCCGAATGTGAAAACGAACTCAGACCGCGGTTCGAGTCATCAAGGACAATAAAGGGTACTCTGCAGTTGCATCGATTTGTCCCCAATATCTACTTCAGAGTTGGAGGTCTACCACTTTGAGTGCTCAGGCCAGACCAACCAAACTAGTCTCTGTGACATATACTAATGACACGACTGATGCATGGTGAAGATTTGCGAACGTGTAAACAGAACGATAACTCTCGAAATTCATGAACAGAACTTTGTTTTGCTGCTCTACGAAAATTTGCCATGGATAGGAATGGCGTAGATTGAAATATCGAGATGAATTTGGAGATTACAGAATAATTTCATGCATCCACATGGCCTACGAAGCAATTTAATTGGCCAAAGAAACCAGATAAAATGTGGATTTCAGAAGACAAATACTGTGGTGTGGTTGAAACGCCGTTCACTTCGGTCATCCTCATCAGAGGATATACTATCAGCCAAGAAATGATGTTTTGAATTTTCAACTTTCAGTGAGCAGTGCGACCATTGATTAAGAGTAATGAGGGTGAATGTAAATCAGATATGTTTTAGCTTTCTGTATGTTATTCGTCTAGTTCAAAGCAACTGGATTTTACTACAAACCAATTAAATTCAAGTTAAATTGCACGGAGAAGTGTTTTTTGAATTTTGCCTTTGCAGACTACTGAGGAATATTACACTCTGGTTTTCTTTTATAATTTTGTGCGAAAACATTTGCGGCCTTATAATTTTGGCCCTATTTTCATTTCAAAGTCGCAAGGGCAACAAGGCTCAAATTCAAGTCAATGCTAATGCGTTCAAGAGACTCATCAAACTTTTAACTTACCCTACCTTAAAAACAATTGGCAGCATTGGAATCCTTAGGCAATTCCCTTTCCAAAGATACCATTCCCATCAAGATTCGGCCAAGTGTGTTACTTGATTTATGGACGTTCATAGATAGGGCCGCTTCGCCAAATCTTGGCCCCCATTTTGCCAAAATTGGACAGGTCATTAGCGGTCCAAAACCGCTGGTCCGATTGAGCCTGAAATTTAAAATTGACCGTTTCGCCCCCAAACCACCATAGGAGAAGTATTTCCAGTGTTCAGGGCCAATCTGGAGGGCGGTGGGCTTAAGAATGCATTTTTTTGTTGGGTGCATTTGACACGGAATGACCCTGTTACGAACATATATGCTGTCTGCAACGCCCGAACCTGCGTAACGTACGTGATGTCACGACTGTCTAATTATTACCTAGCTTCCATTATAGCAAGAGTACACAAGTAGAGACATAGGATAGTAATACTCTCTATCATGTACTCTCTGATTTATATATCAAGAGCGTATATTAAGAAGGTATTATCAGGCCTTCTTTATATACGTCTTAATTATATAATGGCGCACGCGTTCCTACGAGAGGGTCTTTCGCGAAACGAAGAGCTCATTCCCGATCGAACACCTAACACCATCATAGCTATTGATTGCAGAAGTAAACATGTCCTGAACACACACAGCGCACGCGTTCCACAGACACACACACACCACACACACACGCCACGCAACGCGCGCGCACACGCACATCACACACACACACACACACACACACATCACGCACGCACGCCACACGTTCACAGACACACAGACACACACACATCACACACACACACATCACACACACCGCACGCACGCGTTCACAGACACACACACTGCACACACGATGACACACACACACACACACACACACACACACACACACACACACGCCACACACACACACACACACGCACGCCACGCACGCTACACACACACACACCACACACACACACAACACATACGCACGCACGAGTT